CCCCCCCCCCCCCCCCCCCAAACTGAAAACCAGCGGTTCCCGCTCATTGGTGCTGATTTCCGTGTCTCAGCCCACGCTCACGGCGCGATGCTTTCGATTCTTGGGTTTTCCGAGACCTCCCAGGGTGACCTTCGCCCATGCACAGGGGAATGTAAGACGTCCTCCCTCTTGCACTTGAGTTCAGGCCGCAACTTCCGGCGCATGTCGACGCCATGGACGTGGCAAGGCCCCGGAGTAGCAGGGTTGATTACACGCTTGCCGCATGGCCTATTTCCTGAATGGGGGAAAGCTTGCAGACGGCAGGCGGCAGCCGCACTCATGGCAGAATGGGCTGGATGCGAGGCAGCGATGATCGGCGATGCATACGTAATCCCGAGGTCGACCTGGAGATGGGTTCATCGCAAGACACTGCAGACAGTCTGCCGGCTTCCACCCCGACCACATGCAGAGCCTCCTGCTGGCGCGTGTCTGCCCGCAGGCCGCAGCCCTCGCACCAGAACGGCATCGACTCCCTGTGCGGATCCCAAAAAAGGCCCTGGGACTTCACCTTCCGGGTCACAGCGCCGAGGTCTAGACTGGACGCGGGTCCCACGCAGGACTTGGTCAGGCCAAGGCTGGCATTCGAGCATGTGCACAGCAGGCTGCAATGTGCTACAAACTCCTGCTTTACCTGCGCGGTTATTTTTTCTGCTCCACCCGTCTCCCTTCCGCTCAGTGTTATGTGTCGTGGCATTCCCTGGCAGTCTGACTCCATCTCAGACTCAGGGTTCGGGGAGGCCGCAGGTGGTATAGCAAGCGAGTGTTGTACTTGATGAAAACGTCAACCTGGCACCTGGAAATACATTCGCTAGTACCAGTCGCTAGGTCATCTAGTTCACTGCATGCCTTTGGTAATAGCCCGCCCCGCTGGCTTTAAGTTTGGTTGCGACGTTTGGCATGACGGCATTTCCCACTAGCACTAGCGGACGGGAGCAAGAGCATTCCGTAATCCCCCCGTGCTCGCATTCATTGCAAGTATCAGCACTACCATCTCCGCTTGATCATCATATCATAGTGATAGTGATCTAGGATCCCCCTCGATACCCATCACTACTATTACTATTCTCAAATTAATACTATTTTCATTCTTATTCTCATTTTATTCTTATCGTTATTGGAAAATAGGTGACCATCGCGGCGCCATCGCCAACACCATCACATATGGCCATTACGATCATCGTCCAACGTCCATCGTCCAACGTCCATCGTCCGTCATCCATCATTCATCATCCGTCCTCATCCTCATCCTCATCTTCCTCCTCCTCCTCATCATCATCAGCATCAGCATCGGCATCAGCCTCAGCATCAGCATCACCATCAGCATCAGCATCACCATCACCACCAGGTCATCGTCGTCATCATCATCATCATCCTCATCCTCATCCTCATCCTCATCCTCATCCTCATCCTCATCCTCATCATCCTCATCATCTTCATCATGTTCATTCTCATCCTCCTCCTCTGCCGCCTTCTCTCCTCCTCCTCCGCCCCCTCCTCCTGCTCCTCCTCGCCCTTCTTCTCCTCGTCCTCCTCCATCATTATCATCATCCTCCTCCTCCTCATCATCATCATCATCAGCATCATCCCCATCATGCTCGTCATCCTCATCATCCCCGTCCTCATCATCCTCATCCTCATCCTTATCCTCATCCCATCCTCATCGTCATTGTCATCGTCCTGGTTGTCGTCGTTGTCGTCGTCATCATCGTCGTCATCATCGTCGTGATAGTCATTGTCATCGCCATCTTCGTCATCGTCATCCTCCTTGTCCTCGTCATGGTTGTCGTCGTTGTCGCCATCATCGCCATGGTCAGTGTTCAGGCCGGCACCAACCTTTGCCAATGGCTTCGACCATGGGCTGGGACCTTCAGCCCGACATCGTGAAAAGATGTGGAACGTTGGTTCAGTCAGCCAGTTTTGGAGGACTTCCAGGTACCAGTCATGCCTGCAGCCTCACCAGAACCAACCCAGCCCAGGCATTCGGAGACCAGCATCTCGCGGGGGGGCTTGGGCCGCGGGTGCGGGGCCTGGCGGTTTGCGGGGCAGGCTGCGATTCACAGCTTTGGGATCGGGACGAGTGTTGTTGCAACAGGGGGGCTGGTCTTGAAAGCCCTCGCACACAACCCAGGAAAAAAGATTCGGGCGCTTGTTGCCATTTGTCGCCATCCTGTGCTGCGTGGCTGAGGCTTTCTCCCCCACGACAGAGCCGCGACACTTTCGCAGGGTCGGAGCCTCACACTGCAGGGTTACGTCGTGTGCGAGTGCTGAACCACTCGCAGCAAAGGTCTGCTGGGTACACGGAGTCGATGCCGTGGGGGCCCAAGCGTGGCACATCCAAAACCTTGCATGCAAGCATTGAGTGCTAAGCACTTTCCGAAGCAGATTCGTCTTTCCTGGCGCCTTGGAGCAGCGGCTCTGTGTCTCGCAAAATGCCTTCCACCGTGGCCTCGCCCTACTGGTTTTCCGAGACTTTCGGCTTCGCTGAGGAGGCCTATGAGAAGACCCGAGAGAAGTTTGCCCTCACGGAGGATGTCCTAGAAAGCAAAGCCAACGGCCGGCGCTTCCACGTGGGGCCTTGGGCCTTGATCTCTGTCGCAGAGCTCCGAAGCCAACTTCTCGCTGCGAGCTCCGGCAGTGCGGTCCCTGGTGGCCTCGGGCTGACCTTCAGCAACGTCTGCGGAAATGCGCAGACGATGCACCGCGACCCTGCGAATGTCGGCTCCGTGTTTCAAGTCGCGTCGCAGTTCAACTGCCTGGAGATGAACGAGCCCGGGGCAAGACCTGAGGACGGTGTGACGCGGTACTACAGCGATGCCACGCAGGGGCCTGCTTGTGCCATCAGCTGTCCTGCAGGGACTGTCTTCCGCAACTATTTCGTGAACGGCAAAGGCCAGGGTCGCGGCCACCAACTGGATGGCTTGGCTGACATAGCGGAGCTCGTGGGGAACTCCAAGGAGAAGTATTGGCGAATGGTAAACGGTTACTGTCTGCCCGTGGATGCAAAAAGCATCGGGCGACTCAGCAGTCGTTTGAAGGAGGACGAAGGGCTCTCGGAGGAGCTCCGCAGCCGCTTGCGCATCGGCGTTCACTGGGAGACGGAGGTGGCCAACAAGGATCACCGGGTCTGCCAGGTTTTCTGCTCCGCGCTGCCCGTCGCGTACGCAAAGAGCACTCGATCCCAGGACTGGGAACCTTTCGGGCGCCTGGTTCTGCAAGGGACCTTCGAGGCGACTTTGGCCGCCGCCGCTCTGCTGGCCTTCGAGCGTGGCCAGCGCGTGAAGGTCTACCTTACGGCCGTCGGTGGAGGAGCCTTCGGCAATCGAACGGCTTGGATTGTGGAAGCCATCGACCGGGCCTTAAGGATCCATGCGGACTCGCCCCTGGATGTTATGCTGGTACATTTCGGCACTGTGCCGCGAGGCGCCTATGCAGATCTAGCCAAGGGCCGCAAGACGCCAAAAGCGCCCAAGCCGGCAGAATCAAAGATCGATGCTGCACCGGAAGCCTCAAAAAGTCCTGCTGGCGCTGCGGAGGCATCGCCGGAGGCACCCGGGCCACCAGCCCTGACGCGCACAGAGAGTGGGGCTGTGTCGATCTCTCGCGCCTTTGCCAAGCTGGACACGAACAACGACGGAGTCATCCTCGAAAGCGACATGAGCGCCGTGCTAAAACAGCTGGTGCCAAGCCTTACGGATGATGACATCAAGGCCATGTTTGCAGCCGCAGATTCCAACTCTGATGGTGAGGTACACTACACCGAATTCGCCGCATGGGTCACTAGTGAGGATGCGTCCAGCGTCGTTGGACACGTCATGCAGCTGGCTAAGCCGGATGCACCATCAGAGTCGTGACAAGTGCAGAAAGGATCAGAACAGTATAGTAAGCCTAACAGCGCGCCCATAGTAACCCTGAAAGTAAGGCCATAGTAACCCTTTCGTAATCCTAGTGCAACCTCAGTGACAATCTTGCATTCACAGTAACCCATAGTAACCCTTCTAGTACTTTGATGTTAACCTATAGTAATAAGCTGCTAAGACCAGCCAAGTTCTGTGGAAAGCTGTGCCAGGTCACGGCCAACGCCTGCATTCTCGAGCACCGCACCGGCCGAAGCCGCGGTGTTTCGGATGGAGGCCAGGGGCTGCCAGGGCTGCCGACACCGAAACCAGCGACAGCAAAATTGGTAACTCCAGCAACAGCTAAGAGAGCCAAAACCAGCTATACAACAAGCAGCGATGTCAGCACACCTATCTGCTGTTCGTAAGGAGGCCCTTCGTATTGCTCTCAATGGGCTTAAACCTCGCCGTGTGGTTTTCTCAACGGATTTCATAGGGTCTTTACGGGAACCGTTGTCAAGGTCTTCGATATTTTTAGGAGGTGAGGCTTTGTAGAGAGCTCGTGTTAGTCCACTCGGTCGTGGAGACAATCCGGAGCCCGATCACCACCGCCGCTGTACCGAGACGAACAGTGCCAACTACACCGGACGAGGACGAGAACCACGAGAAGGAGGACGAGGATGGTGGAGGAGGACGAGAAGATGAGGACGAGGAGGACGGGGAGGACGCCGGGAGAACGAAGAGGACGAAGACGACAAGCGCGACGAGCACGACGAGCACGACGAGCACGACGAGCACGACGAGCACGACGAGCACGAGTGGAGGACGCTGAGGACGAGGAGGGCGAAGAGGGCTAGGACGAGGACGACGGCCACTGCGACGACTGCCACCACGACGACGACGACCGCCACCCCCGCCGCCGCAGCAGCGACAGCATATATCCATTTTCGTAGTCATGTCAGGCTCAAAGTCATGGTCACCCAACAGTCACGTTTTTGATGGCACAGTTCCAATCGTGATAGTCGTGATCGTGTAATTTATTGGTATTAATAAACACTGCTGGTGGTAACAGTTGCAGCAACAGCTAACGGTTGTTCCAATGGCAACGACTGTCTCTGCAGAGCAAACGTCGCGAGTTTCGGCAGCAACAGCCACTACACAAGAAGTACGCCGTGCACACAAAAAGCGTTGCATCTATCATACATGCAATCTGCCGTAGTTCGGCCGGGTCTCGCAATGTATCTTGTAAGCTAAGTACGTACGGCATCAGGCAGAGAGACGACTGGCTCTGTTTCTGTGGGATTTCCACCCCAACCGGACCTGGAGCACGGAGCAAAACAAGGAACATGTCTCGAGCAGGAACTGAAGAGGCTTCCAAGCCTCCCCTCACAAGCTTCATGCTAGCCAGCATGTCCAATGTGAAATACTGATCTGCCCCCCTGGCAGGAATCGCGGCAGAGCGACCCGGCAGTAAGAGCACAGCTGCCCTCAGGCTCGCCGTTGATCTACAGTTTTCTGGCCTGCGGGCCTTCAGGGTCGAGTTTTCGAGCCCACGGATCCATGGTTGAGGGAGGGGGTGCTCGAGCTGAGGCTTTTGGGCCGAGCCTCGGAGGGGTTGAGGTCTCGCCGTGCCTGTTCAGTCGGATTAGAGGAAGCCGGGCTTTGAGGACTTTCGGACGAGACTTGTTGCAGGCAGCTTGGAGCCCCCCGTGCACCGGCCTCTCACAGACTTCCGTGGGCCTGACTTAGTGAAGACTGAAGAAGGATGAGTATCGGATGGGAAGAGGAAGAACTGCGACAAAGTAAGTTGCCCGATATGAAGTCACATGAATGCCCGAAGAGCCTCCACATGTGACAATCGCACAGCAGCACAACATCTTTCACGGTACTCGTAGAAGCACTGCCAGTGCCGGGCTGTGGGTGGAGGCTGCTGCAGGGAACGGTTGAAGTTAAAGGAGCATTTTGCTCCGCAGCCCGTCAAGGATCCCTTAAAGGGCTGGAGGAAGGCGGAGGAAGCCAGAGCGTTGTAGCGGACGAGGAGGTGGAATTTGTCTTCAGAGTTCACAAAACACCTTTACAGAGCTTCACCCGGTGATGCCGAAGAAGCGGTCCAATGCTCTGCAGAGAGGCAGCAAGCTATTTTGTCAATTCTCCGAACAAAGCCCTGCCATTGTTTGGCACCAGCAGAAGTCATAAGCATGTTCAAGCCCCGTTCCCCTACAGAACGGGATGAGTTCTGCGCAGCCCAAGAGCAAACACATGTCCTGACATGTCAAAGCCTTGGAGCAGGTCTCTCCGAGACCGGCGGCCCGCAAGTTTCTGCGATTGCAGCAGGCCCCGAGGGTAGTGCCGCACGGGAACGCTGAGGACCACGACCCAAGAGACCCAAGAGACCCAAGAGACTCACAACCAACAACCCACGACCCACGACGCACGACACCGCCGCCACCGCCACCGCCGCCACCCCCACCACCACCAACATCTATCTGGGCTTTGAACAAAGCCTGAAGATTCTGCGTGGTGTGCTAGCTCGCGGAGGTGCCGCGTCTCAAGCAGCAGCGGATGTCCAGGTCGAGGCGGGCTCTCTGAGCACCGATGTGCCATGATTTGATCAAGTATAATGCTGTTTTTCTTCCATTTCGTTTTATTTAGCTACTTTAGCTGTCGACTGACATAATTAAGCTGTGCATGATTCGATGTCTTGTCATGGCTCTCCGACGAAGACATCCCGAAGAAGTCATGCATCACAGCTCTTTCCGGCATGAACCACCCACATTTTCCTTGCTTCTAAAGTTTAAAGCCTCAAAAGCCCGAGAACCTTTTAGTACCTTGCTTTATTGTCTTGTTAATAACCCAGAAGAGACAGGTACGGGGCAGCGGCCAGCTGCCCTCGGCCTGGCGCACATGGGAGGAGGCGTCCTTGGGCCCCGGGCAGAAGGGCTAGGGTTTAGGGTTTGGGGTTTTAGGGTTTAGCTAGTTGGGGGCGTATGCTGTGAATTGCAGAGGATATCGTCCTGTGCCCGAGCCCAAGTGCCGACTCGAACAGGTGACATTCCCACCTCGGGTGCGGGCTCCGCTGGTGTCGGCGGGCTTCCCGGCCAACGGCTTGGTCTGCCTGAAAAACGGACGCGAGACGGATCGTGGCAGGATGCTTTCCATGGTGTCCACATCAGGCACCGACTGCGATCCAGCAGCATTCTTGGCCAATTCTCACAGCAGGCACGAGGCTCAGGACTACTCTTGCAGCTTCCTCTGCGAGATGAAGAGGAATTCAAGTGTCAGGGTAGCGTAGATTGAGGTAGCCTTGATGCTCGACTTGATTCGGTGCCCGCTTCGTTATGTCGTCGGGTCGGTTGCTCATGCATTGTGATTCCGCCGGTGACACACTACCCAACAGTGTAACAGCTTCGGTGGAGTTCAGCCATGTGAGTTTGACGCGACAGGCCGAGATCTGATAGGGGTTGCGAAGACGGGCCGTGACCCAAGCAATTCGTGTGTCTTTCAATGGAATGAAGAGATGTCTCAGCCCAAAGGGACTCGAACCCCCTTCAAGTCTTGAAGCTCTGTCCTCTTCGAGGTCACAAGATCAGGCCCAAGGTCATCTCCCCAATCCCCGGCCTCAACTTCCGGAGAACCGGGACTTTCCGAATGAGGGTGTTTGAGCTGTGTCCAAGAAACCGATCGCTCTCCCAAGCCGACGGCAGCTGGATGGATTCAGCCGCAGAAGAGTTTGGTTGCATACGTCGACATGCAAACTCAAACTCCTTCAAACACAGAGAGAAGACAGGCGAGTCTGTCATGGACTCCGTATGCATGTATGTGCATGCATGCTTGCTTGAAGCCTATCGGTGAAGCCCAAGCCTCGCCTGAGCACTCACCCGTCAGAACCTCCCCCTGACCCGCCTGAGCCCCTAAGGCTCGGGCAAGACGCTGGCCTTCCTGCTCCCCATCTTCGCCCGGCTCCTTGAGAGCAAAGTGGATCTGCGAGGCGGGTCTCTCCGAGCTCTGGACGGAAGTCTCGCCATATTTGGGGGTTTCCGAAATAGGGGACCCTAATATAGTACCCTAAATAGTAGGATCCTTATTATAAGGACCCCAAAAGAAGGTACCCCTTATTTTCGGAAAGTCCCAGATTTGTCCTTTGCTAACCCCACGGCGCTCGCGCGAAATCAGAAGAGAGGGCTGTGGCCAGGTCCACCAGCAGCGCTGGTTTTGGCACCCACCCGAGACTCAGCTGGAAGTTAGGATACCGCGATTCGGGATCTTCGGCTTTGGCAAGATGTGTGTTTCAATGTTCGTTCGAATCTTGGGATCGCAGACCATGCCTTCAACCCTTACTAGAGCCCTTGCCTTGGCAGAATATTATTGTAGCCCCGAAGCCCTACGAGACCCTATGCCCAAAATGGCTTGGGGTGGCGCTCAGGAGAGCTGGCCTGCCAGATCGAAGCCGAGGCTGCGTCCCAAGGGCTTTCGGGCTGCAGGGTCCGGCGAGGGTGTGTCGTTTGGGGTTTAGCGTACCATCAAAGTCTAGGGTTTAGTGTGCCATCAAAGTTTAGGGTTTAGCGTACCATCGAAGTTTAGGGTTTAGGGTTTAAGGTTTCCGGTGGAGGGTTGGGGATGCCGTAACATTCATAGAAACCTCATGGATAGGAGGTCTTGCAAGGCAGCTGCGTATTGGCCCCGGAGTGAGTGGCCCAACCCTGGACCGCAGCATTCTGCAAGCCCCATAAACATATTGAGAATAGTAGTAGTGATGATGTTGATTTGCACATTTTATACGACAATAACAATAGCGTTGAGCATAGTTTCATAGTAATGAATAGTTGTCATGAGCCGCCGAGTATTGAAGACATCTCTAATCGGAATGCATGATTAGCGCGATAGATGACTAGATATAACTGCATGTAGCAAAGGACAGATGCGAGCCATGCATGTTGGCATTGAGCATGCGTGTGACGGTGCTGTGCTACTAGCAAGAAAGTTAGGTAGTGCACACCCTTCGTCTGCCATCATAAGCAAACAGATGTCGAGGGAGAAGGTTACTGCGTGGGCAAGGTTCCCCATCGGACTGTCCAACTCATGTCCTGGCGGCAGCTACGCGCTCTCTCACTGACCTCACCTCATGCCTATGTGCATGCCTTTCTCTTTTGCTTGCATGAGCGCTTGGTATTCACGAAGAGTGTCTCAGCCCAGTGCAGGCCAAGCGCTTCGGGGCCACCGCCGGCATGCGCGCTGCATGCCTCTATGGCGGTGCCCCCAAGGGCCCACAGCTCGCAGAGCTGCGGCAGAGGCCGCAAAGGGGTCAAAGCTGTCCCAGAGGGAAAACTCCGGAAAAGTCATGGCTACACATGCAGTGGAGCAGAGGGGCGGATGTGGCTTCTCACGCAGCCAGGAAACCATCGAAAACCCAAAGGAAAAACTCCCGGAGGCCCCAGCTATTGGTGGCCACGCCGGGGCGGCTGAACGACCTCCTCGAGCCACCGCCAGGCCGTTCAAGCATTTCCTCACACCTTCGGAGGTAAGCATTGTGGATTCAATGTGTTTGTGTGAGAAACTCCGGTACCGGGGTAGGGCTCTGCCTTGGTGCAGGATTGTCTGTGGCTGTGGACGTCAAGTCCGTGCGGTATCTGGTCCTGGACGAAGCGGAGCCTTGGCACCAGGGAGGGGTCGGAGTCCAGAGCGTCCACAGAGTTTGATCCGATCTGCCGCTCAGGACCGGATGCTGGACATGGGCTTCGAGCCCCAGATCCGGAAGATTATCAGCGGACTTCCACAGGACCTTTTCTCTGCAGCTCTCCACTCGGCCTGCACTGCAAGCATCAAGAGTGCAGGACCGCCAGACTGTGATGTTCACCGCCACGTGGCCGCTGTCCATCCGCCGCCTTGCAGCGGACTTCCTGCGAGATGCTGCGGAGGCCCAATGCTAGTATTAGTATTACTATTAGTATTAGTAGAAGCAATAAGGTTCGTATTTACATTAGGTATCAGCATTAGCATTACTATTCGTATTAATATTAGTTTCAATATTAGCATTAGTATGAGTATCATTCACTCGTTCGGGTGCGAGCCCGGCCTGCAGAGTTGCTTTTTGCAGGTCCGTGCCGGCGAGGTGGACGAGCTGAGAGCACCTTGGCAGCGGGGGATTCGCTGTTTCTCTTCTCAAGTGAGTACATTAATATGCTAATATCATATAATATAGCATAATATCACAGAAATCGACCAAGATTCGTGAGAGCACTACACAACCTGATCCTGTGGGCTCGAAACCGCACCCGGTGGGAAGCATGTCGACTGCGGGACATCAGGTTCAATATACAAAAATATAATAAAACATAGTATAATAGAATACAACATAGTATAATGCAAATATACTATGCTATACTATAAGATAACCCTCTCCGCCTCAAGCACTCCAGCAACGGCCCGGGTCTTCCCTTACATGCGATCCTTGCAGGTTGTTTTTTTAGCCCAGGTCAGGGAATCTCCGAGTCTCTGATTGCCTTCAGGTGAACCCAGACATCACACAGCAGGTGGTGTTCTGCCTGGACTCTCTGCCGCAAGCCAGCTCCCGCTTCCCAAATATGAACATCAACGCAAGCCCCGGGGTTTGTAGCTTCGAGCATTCGCAGCCGTCGAAGCCCTAAACAAGGGAACCGTCACCACATCCGTGAACCGGAAGCCTGATGCTCAAAAGAAAAGAATCTCAGGACATGCGCGAGAAGGAGGAGTGGCTGGATAAGATCCTCCGGGAAAGCGGCAGTGACCAGGCCATCGTCTTCGTGAACACCAAGCGGATGTGTCCTTCGGCGTGATCTAAGGAAATCAACTTACTGTTTTTGCTAGGGGGCCTTGATTCGGGGGACCCTACTTCTTTCCACTTCAAAGGCAGCGGGGTGTGGTCGATCGAGTCTCTGGATCCACTGCCGAAAAGGATTCCTTCATGCATTCGTAGGAGGATGATTTCTCCAGAATCCCTATTCGGTTTCATGCTTAGCTCTGCGAGTCAGGCCCCCGCAGTTTTTTCGCTATCTGCCTGTCTACTTATGTACTTCTCTGTATCCATCTACGACACATCTCTGCCGAGGCGAAGTGGTCTCCTCTCGCACGCCGAACTCGATGGCCATCCATGGGGACAAGGTCACTTTTCAAGGGAGTGCACGAGAAGGTTTGTTTCGAGGATGTATGGTTGAGGGCATAGCCGTTTCTCCAAAAGGGTAGGCGGTTTCGCAGTGAAGCGCAGGGCGACGAGACCCAGCTTGACAAGGATCTAGACCTCAAAGCAACCTCTACAGATTGGGATACTTGAGCAGGGGACTTCAAGAGAGCAAGCGAGTCTTTCCAAACCCTCCAGAGGTTTCCGGCTCCAGCTTTGTGGACCCCTCCGGCAGAGGACCAGCGGGAGCGAGATCTGGCTTTGGGCCATTTCAAGTCGGGCACCGTGCGGGTCCTCGTGGCCACGGATGTGGCGGCCCGTGGACTGGACATCAAGGCCTCTCGTTTCCCCGTCTCAAGGGGGGGGGGTTGTGAAAGAACTGAAGGGTTTTCCCTTGTGTCTCTATCTACTAGAGGCCTCCGAACTCTGAGGGGCAGGTACACTGGAATTGTCATTCAGAAGGCTTTCGTCGAGCTGGTTCGGGCCAGTCGGTTTGGATATGTGTCTGCATGGATGTATGTGTAAGGCGCACGTAGATCAATTCATGTGTAGTGTAGTCGTCGTAACAGCATCGTGGCCACCACTGAGGGAGGAGCAAAGGTTGAAGGAGATCAGGAATGAACACTTCCCCATCTTCTTCAACCTGTGCTCCTCCAGCAGTGATGGCCACACAGCAAGGAGCGTGCCGCGCTCCTTCACTGCGTGCCTGGAGAAAGTTGGGCCGGGTATAGTTTTTGTTGTGGCAACAGATGGAGGAGCACCATTTGATAGGCTGGTAGGAGGGTTGGAGCATGCTAGCTACAGCTTTGGTTTTTCTGTCGGAGCTCAGGCAGAGGTCCGGTTGCATGCTGAAGCTTGTAGAATCTGTCCTTGAACCCCAAGCCCCCCAAAGCTTTCGGCCCCCAGCCCCCAACTTCAAACCCAAAGCTGCAGAAACCCAAACCCTAAACCTTCAACCCTCAACCCTAAACCCTAAATCCCAAACCCGAAACCCTGAACCCTCAACCCCAATCCCTAAACCCTCAACCCTAATCCCTAAACCCTCAACCCTAAAACCTCAACCCTCAACCCTAAACCCTCAACACTCAACCCAAATCCCTAAACCCTCGACCGGCAACCCTAAACCCTCAACCCTCAACACTAAACCCTCAACCCTCAACCCTAATCCCTAAGCCCTAAACCCTCCACCCTAATCCCTAAACCCGAAAGCCTCAACCCCAAACCCTCGACCCTAAACCCTCAACCCTCAACCCTAATCCCTCAACCCTAAACCCTCAACCAAGTTCTTCCCCGAAGCTCCCAAGCTCCCGGCTCAGGCTGTGAAGGTGGTGGTGAACTTCGATCCTCCGAATCGCGAGGAGGAGCGAGGGAAGTATCTGTTTATATGTTTATATGTACCCGTGTGGGAGTCTCTACCAGCTTGTGTGAGTCGTATAAATTGTCAGTTTAATGGTTATAGTTCTAGGGATTCCTACCCAAAAACGGGGTTTACGTTGCGGCCCAACATGTCGTGAAACCGCCCTGTGCTTTGAAAGGTGTTCCTTCCATGCGAACCGCTACGATGTCTGGTGCAGAAAGACTCTTCGTGAACCTGCAGCTCTTCAGAGTTCTACACAGAAGCCAGCCGAGCACGAGGTTTCCAGCCGTAATGCTGGTGTCAAGAAGGAGCACCTATCCAAAACGAGCAACTCTCCCATCGTTCGACACTCCATGAGTGCATGAATCTTTGTTAGTTTTCCGGGAACATCAGGCAGATGCTGTAATCTTGACGAAGCAAGCCGCAATGAGCTTCCAATTCCAACTTGTCCGATACAAGCTCAACTAGCTTGAAGAAGCATCTGTAGAACGCCCCAATCTCCGTGTTCCATCTTCCGCCACAAGACACGGCTCCCCAGAATCAATCCACGCCTACAACCCCGAGTAGTTCGGGGGGAACACTTTTACGATGATCGCCGCGTGAAAATGCGAGGACTATGTCCACCGCGTCGGCCGAACGGGCCGGGCCGGGCAAAAAGGTGCGCAGATTTGCCAACATCTGTCTAAGTTGAGAGTATGGGGTTTTTATGTCTTTCGACGGGGAGTGTCTACGGTAGCATATCAAAGCAGGTACTAGTACAGAAGAGCTTGCATATCATGTGAGACAGAAGTTATCTCCTCTTCTCCTGCTGGACATTTGTTCGCCCCTGCTTCCAAGGCCTGAGCACGCAACCCTTTTCGCCTTGAATCCTTATTAAGCCTTATTATACTGATCTTTTTATCTCCAAACGAGCCTGCAAAGCTGGAAGGCTTGGCCTGGACCCTCCTGACCAACGAGGACGGTGCGGCCGCGCGGAGCATCGTAGCTCGGCGCGGACCGTTGGAGGGAAGGGCGGACGAGGTTTAAGAGTGAGGCCTTCATAGGTTCAAGGGCTTCGGATTGCGACAGAGCCTGGGCCTTCGTGCACCTGTGGGATATTGTGGGGATCTTCACGGCCTTGCATTCTCCATGCTGTTTTCCCGAATCGAGGGCTTGGTGGCTTGCGGATTGTTGAGACTGTTGGCAAGTTTTCGGCTTGGGTTCCTCCTGAGTTGTTTATGCATCGAGGAAGTTGTTGGCAAATTGCAGCCCACCTTCGGTTCCGCGGATGGGATCTGAAGGAGAGGCGGATCTAGGAAGCTTTAGCTCCGGTGCCTCCCCAACATCAGAACTATCCATTGCTATCAACAGTGCTATCAGCACCTGCAACATGAGAAACCGAAACTCAGGCTGACATCTTCAAGCCGGCGCCCCGTGCTGCTTGCGAAGCTGTTGTGTGTTCACCGGCATCCGATGCTGCCTCAAGTTCAGTGCATCCGCGTGGAAACCCTGTTTACATAGAGATATACATGCACGCATGCATGGATGTACGGATGTATGAACGTATGGATGTATGGATGTACGGATGCAAGTAGGTAGGTATGTATGTACGTATGTATGTATGTATGTATGTACGTACGTATGTACGTATGTACATATGTACGTATGGCTGGCTGGCTGGCTGGCTGGCTGCCTGCCTGCCTGCCTGCCTGCCTGCCTGCCTGCCTGTCTTCAACCAACTGTTAGTATGTCTCGGCACCTGGTAACCTACTGCTACGTCTTGTGCAGTTGCAGGCTTCAGATCCCTGGTAAATTATTATACACCTCTCTGGGACGCAACGCGCTGTGATCAAACATGTAAGGCGAATGGAGCTGCCGGTGCCTGCAGAGCTCTCCCGACGCCTCGCCGCGCACCCACCAGGGCCGCCATAGCCTGCCACGGAGAGGACATTGTTTTTTGTTGGTGATGCGGATGAGGATGAGATTGAGGCGTGAGTATGCTGACCATTGCGACGATGTCGTTGAGGAGTTTGAAGATGTGAAGCCAAGTCCTTCACGGGGCAAGCGTGCGGCAAAATGCCACAGTCGCCCGGGTTGCGAGATATTTACATTTTTTGTTGCTGAACTGCAGCGCGCTGCCGGATCCATCACGGATGGGTAGATGTTGTGGCGAAGGCAAATGTGCTGCCGGTGTCACGAATACCAGTGGTGGTACGATGCAACCTATCAGGCTCGCAGATACTGGCAGGAACTCTTCGAAAGTCGGAAGTAAAAGGCCCTGAACCCAAACCCACAACCTCCCCAAACCCCAAACTGTGAGTACCAAGAGCGCCTTGAAGCCCTTGGACCGTAAAAGCCCAAAGCGGTGGGCCATCCAAAGGCCTCCGGCGAACTCCGAAGCTCCGGCAGGGCACGCAGCAGGCGCTTTCTGAGTGTTGCTTCCGGTTTGGGATATATATTTAGGGTTTGCTTGTTTACTGTAGGGTTTTGGGTGCTTTGCTTCCGATTGGTTGCTGTACGTAGTGCTGTTGCAGCCAATTTCAACCAGAGCAGTCCAATTTTGGCTTCCCAGAAATTAGTCGTTGAGCTATGGTCCCAGTCTAGTATAGCATCGTATGATACTTATAGTTTTACGAAGGATAGTACAGTATGTCCTACTGTAGGAGGTTATGGCATATTATAGCATATCATAGTATATTTCAGGGCAAAATTAGTGCATTGTAGTATATTGTAGTACACTATCATAATTGAAAGTACGTAGAATCGGTTTATGTTATAGTATGATTTCGTAGTAGATTGTGTATTATAGTATTACACATTCGGGTGTACGGTGTAGTATGTATTAAACTATATGTTGTAGTACGTCTTGGACTACTCCTGTATACTTGTCAATAATTCAGTATGTTACAGTAGCATAATATAGTATTTCATACCTTCTAGGACATGACGGTATGTTCTGGTTTTCCTAGTACATTAACGTATTTTCTACGACAGTACAGTATATTAGGGTATCTTGTAGCATCTTGTAGTATATTACAGTGTAAAAGTATCTTACCATAGTCTATTATTAATTTCTCTCGCCGGCAAGCTGGGATAGGATAGACAAATAGTAGGCATGTAGAACACAAACAGACAGAGGGACAACACAGGCAGACCAGAAACTGATGTATGACAGCGGCAGAAACAGAGAGGCAGAGACAGACGGAACGACAGACATGCAGGCAGACAGACAGACAGAAGGGCAACAGACCGACAGGCAGACAGACAGGCAGACTGGCAGACTTACAGAGAACCACAGTCACACAGCCTCGATGTGATCTCTCCAGCCTGCTTTATTTTGGGTGACGGAAGACAGTTTCCTGTTGAACCCTCAGATCGCCGTCACCTCAGTACTCTGAGTCAGCACAACGGCAAATCACCCTATTCGACTGAGTCGACCGGTTCTGGGTCTGGCTGGCACGCTGTTTCAGGAGACACCGCTTTACATGCACAAGAACCACTTGCTATTGTTGCTAGTCTCGCATGTACTCTATATCCGCGGTAGCTTCTTGCCATCCGCCGCAAGAAGAGAGACGGAGCTTGTTACAGCCATGAGATTTAGGACCCCGGTAGGTTGAGCCCTTGCCCCTGTCGCCCCTGGAGGTCTGTGGGTCGGCCTTTGCTCAGAGGCTGGCTCTCCAAGCCTTTGAGATCAGTGGCGGAATGAGTTGAGGGTCCGGGAGATTCTGCGAAAGTGGACCTGGTCTGGCTGTGTTCTTGACAGGTGTAGACTGTGGTCATGGTGGTTGTGACGATTTGCGGCGATGATGATGGCAATGAAGATGAAGATAGATAAGCTTATTGTGATGACGATCCATCATCATCAGGCAAGGCTCGTGTGAGAATGCTGGTGATGAATTATGATTGCTACAGTACCGTTCTGCTTCGCTGACGTGTAAGGGCGTACTAGTGATGGCTAGACGCATGGCAGTGCTTCCGGTTTTGGGGATTACCGGGCTGATATTGGCCGAGATGGCAGCCGAACTGTGCATGTCGCGAGCCATGGCCGTCGTTTTGGTTGTCCAGGAGATTCGGACGTCCGAAGAGGTGTTTCATGATGGAGCTGCAGCATTCTTTGTGCAGGTGGCATGGGTATGGACGACGATTTTGACTTTGGTGGTGATCGGCGGAGGGCTGAGAGCAAGCCTGGGCGATTGAAGCAGGCCGAAGCAAGCTCGAAGCACCTCAGAGTTTCAGACCATATCCAGCACTCACGCCCTTCTAGGCTTCGTGCCCACAGCCTCTGCCCAATTGATTCACAAAGGTTTGGGAGCGGCCGGGAGCAGAACGACTTCCCGCGGTCGTCCTTCATGAACGACTGTCCGACCTGGTGATGGATATGCGAGTTTCCAGCCCCAGGTAGTAGCAAATCACCGTGGTAAGGATTAGTTGGTGATCGTTGTAGGGGTGGTTGTAGAGGAGACGTCGTGGTAGCCATAGTAGGGATACAGTAAACGATTGGGAGAGACACGCTAGTAGCATGGGTCTCCCATGACATGGAGGCCTACGCATGCAGCAGTTGACTGACTTGGCATTGGTGGACAAGTAAGGGTTCAAAAGTACAGTTATTTCATGATATGCTCTCAAAGCCTACTCTCATGGCTTGAAGCATTCATGCCTCTATACTGGTCCCTGTAATATCCCTCTGGATTCCTTGAAGGAGCCCTTCTAGTACCTGATAAGGAACTCCAGTCTAAGTAGTGCGGCTGTATAATCATCCCAGGGTCATCACTCACAGGTTGAAGTGCGACGTAGTTACAGTGGCCATCACAACCGCACCACCACGACGATTAGAAACAATCACAGACATGACAGCCACGCTTAGATTCGCCTGCCGTGTGGGTTTGTGAGGGACCTCGTGGCGACTTCCCTATCAGGAAGCAGCGGTGCGAGGATACCAGCAGCCCATTTCTACCCGAGAAGCCGCGGCCTGCCCTGGAAAGTGTCCACGTGACAGAAATTTCTGTGTGGAGAAGAGGAACAAAGCTCTCTGAAGGGCAGGCCACATGGACATGAAGCCTGGGGCGCGAGGACAAAGAGACTGGATTCCGTTCGGTCTGGTAGATCCGGCTGCGTACAGTATGCCGCAGGTCGAGCCAATGTGCTCGGACGAGAAGCGCCCTCAAGAAAAGACGATTCATGGGCATTGCAGGAGTATCAGAGCCCACACTGGGTTCACACGCCTTCGGCTGTCGATGGCTTCAGTTCAAGGCTGCAAAAGCTGTCAGTCATTCGGCTGCGGCAGAGCCAGTTGCTTGAGACCGAAACCTCACTCTGCTCGCCGGTCTTTGCCGCAGCATTCTAGGAGCTGACTCCTCTTTAGGAAGACCTAGATGTGCAGCAAGCTTCGGCTATGCAGCATGCTATGCAGCATAGCATGGCGCAGAATCTTATTCAAATGCAGAAGTTGACACTGTAGCGCGTTGGTTTGTTCTCAGCAGACCGCGGCACGACTACCAGTCTTCAGCATGGCATTGCTACAGATGCGGCCAGAGCAGGTGGACTGGACAGGCACGGGTCACATGGGTCGCTGTGGTTCTCAAGGCCACGATGATTGGTTGTGATGATGATACTGATGACGGCGATGATGACGGTGATGGCGGCGGTGGTGACGATGGTTTCTTGAATGATCGCTGGCGCTGACGAGAGGCGGTGAGACGATGGCATATGACGATGGTCATGGGTGGAGGAGGGAAGGCCGTGGAGGAGGGTAAGAGCATCAGGATGTGCAAAACTGAAGTGAAAAAGGTGATGATGGTGGTTTAGGGTTTAGGGTTTAGGGTGATTCTTGCGGTCCGGGAGTTTCTATCATCGTTGCCGCACCACTGCGTGCACAGCCTAGAGTCCTAGAGTGCGTGCCTCTGCTAGTTGGCGACGCCGTAAGCACGGGTATGTCAGCATCTCCAGCAGAAGTCGATCCAGGTCACCTTTCAGGCTGTTGTCTCCTCTTCTGCCTCCTGCTCGTCCGCAGCAGTCGTAGTAGTCCTCGTAGTAGTAGTAGTAGTAGTAGTAGTCGTCGTCGTAGTGGCAGTCGTAGTAGTCGTCGACGACGACGACGATTTTTCTTCTTCTGCTTCTGCTTCTGCTACTGCT